CGGCTGGGATGCGCTGCGGATGCGTTTTCAATGTGCTTCCGGCTGGGCTTCCTTGCAGCTGGAAACGCACTGCGGCACGACAGCAGAGGCAGTGTCTTTCTCAGTTGATACCGAAAACGCCTGCGCGCCGTCGCGGCAGGTGAACTCTGTGAAAAATGTTCCTTCTAGCGCAAGTTTGCGACGTCACACCCAGCGGGCGAAGCTATTCGAATCTCGTTTTTATCTATAGCAGAGTGATGTCAGTCTACACGATGTTGTAACTAATCCGCTAATTCCTGCATAGCAACGAACAAGTTGCAGTTCATTACCAGAAGAGTCAAAGAGATTAAAATCGCCGATGTGGGCTCGGTGCTGGGCACCTCCTGCCCTCGGTCCGGGTCGCGGCGATATTGGTAACCAAATGCGTGCGTGAACATCTAACCAGCGCGAAGACCCACCAGCCTTTTTCTAAGATCGCCGAGCGCCGCGCGGCAGCCGGCACACGAGAAAAAGCGCCATCTATTGGAGTGCCGCCCCTTCTTCTTGAGCCCGCGGGCAACTACTGTCGCCACACCGCGGCGGCCCGCAGGCTCCTGCGATAAGCAGTGAATGCGGAATCCGGCCATCTCTCCGCGGGGCATCCGTTCGAGGCTCCTTGAAACGAAGTAGCCTTCTCTGGAAGCCATTAGGCCATCGCGCATAACGTTTATGCACGACGGCAGACGGGAAGGCAAACAAAAGCGAAGCTCAAAAAGTTGAATTATTTTGGCCATTTCCGGCTGCAGCCCTTTTTGGATGCCCACATCGGGCATTTCCAAGGTGGGGGAAGGGGTGCAATTTGTGGGCCTTAGCGAGATGGAAACCGTGCGGGGGGGACACACCTCCACAGGCTTGGTAGACGGTATGGGCCCTGTGACAATTTTAGAAACCGCTTTTGGGCGCGCGGCGACTCTCAAGCGGCTTTTACTTTTTCAGAAAAGGTTAGCACTTCCAAATCCAATTTTCACGCGGCCTCCGTGCCGTACACGAAGTGACTCCGTCTTTTTTTTGGCCGCTTCCACGCCGCGAAAAAGTGTCGCTTCCGCGCACTTTTTTTCAGTTTTCAAGCGACCGGAGCGGCCGACGGGTGGCAAGATTTCCGCTCTAAAACGCCTCACCCCATCGGCAATAACCGACAGAAGAGCTATTCCGTTTCAGAATCAGATCGCGCGGAGCCGCCCAAGTGCTCTATGTTGCCACTCCCCTGCTTGACGAGTGCTGTTTTTTCGGCTTTCACAAAAAGGCGGCGAACTCTTCCGGGATCCGCTTTCTAAAGGCCAAACACCCTTGAAAACGCCCGACCTTGCGAGTGCTTGCATGCCCCCGGCCCCGAGTCGCTCCCATATGGCAACGGCAAAGCCTTCGTGCTGCAGCTGCGATGGATGAGCATCTCGCACGCTTTGGTTACCTCCACGCTCGTCACGCCGCTCGTCACAGTAGTTGTAGTATCCGCACTATCTTCCGAATTCATGTCAGGATCTCGTGCAGCAGTGCAAGCACGGCAAGCGGACGCGATCCTCCTCCTGCAATCTGCCCACGATGGCAACTGCACGAGCTGTTTCCGCCTCTGCGCCGTAATAACTTCCACAAAACTCGAGGTCGGGTTGATCGAGGCCGTGGCACTGCCATCCCCGGGCTGCGGTCCGCCACTGCTCCTTCTCGCAATCAAACCGCAGAACGTTTTCGCCTCAAACGTGGACACGCAGCCGTCTCCGTTGCGGTCGACGCTCGCGCCGGCAACCGCCTCCAGTTGCTTCACGATGGCTTTTTTCTGCTTCTCGGCACTTTTAATGACGTCGTCCGTTTTGCTGAGCAAGTCGAAAAGCCTGGTTTTTTCATAGGTTTATACGTCGATTGAAGCCACCAACCAGCATGTTCATGTTGCCCATTCTCTTTCTCATTACGACTGTGTCCAACATGATGTTGGAGGACTAGGTGGTACCTAGAACCAGAATTCCGAAAGAACAACACGACTGCAAGAGAAAAAGAAAATTACTAATTCTACCGTGTGCAAAAGCAACGCCGTCTGCCGCTGTAGCATCTCCGTGACGTCGATCCGTTTGTAGTGCGGCCGCAGCGCGTACTCCCTTTCCTCGTCGTCGAACGGAGTGCGCGCCAATGGCTCTGCGCTCACCAGCGTCGCGGGCGTCACGCCCGAGAGGGTGTTTCTCGGCTTCACCTGGACCCAAAAATCCAGGGTTTCGTACCCGAAAATGGCGTGCCGCGTGGTTTGGGATTGTTTTCCCAAAACGCTCGTCCTCCGGAACTGGTCCTTGTTCCAAAATCTTTCGCGGATGTAGGACGCGAACTGCTGATTTATGGCAACAAAGTGACCGGAATTTATTGTGTTGCTGGCACTACTGCTTGTAGTTCCCGGAGAAGTACTACTACTTGCACCTCCTGACGAGAGCAACAGAAACGCGTTTTTTTCCTCCAACGTGTTAAACTCTAAGACGAAACTGCCGGTCAAAAATATCGTCGGCATCAGGTGCCACCTCGGTTTCATCTCCGGCTTGAGCGCCTGGATCACCGCCCGCTGTTGCGCGGTTTCGCTCGGGAAACACTTATCGAAGTAGAGATCCGAGAAGGAGTATTGTGAGGAAAAATCCCCCCTCCCCATATCGAGACGAAGTTTCTGATGCTGGATTTTCGTACACAGATGCGCACTGTCTTGCAATACGGCATCGCAGCCAGATCCGCAGCGTAGGTAGGGGAGCAAGGGTCTAGTTGTTTAGCATTGCGACCGGCTGTCTCCTAGGCCCAACAGCATGCCAAATCGCTTCCATAATGGCGCGGAAGCCTCTGCACTTGTCTTCTTGCAAGACAGACGTGATTTGTGTTCTGAAATCAGCAACACAAATTATCGGAAACATATCTTTTCGATATGGGGAGGCGGAGGGGGGGGTTTTCCTTTTGATAAGGAGTCCGCTTGGATCCCGCAACGCGCCGCACGACAGCCGAGGTAGTTCTGCCACAGCTTGCAACAGGTCCAGGCACTGTCGATTTGTGGTTCGTTTAATAGCTGGGCGGTATTTGATGTCGGGGTAGTTGCACCTGTAGTAAAAGAGTACCAGTTGCTCGTTCTGGATAGGGGCGAGGACGCTGTTAGAGCGTTTGCGGGTGTACTGCTCCCAGCGCCGCCCACAATGTCCAAACAATACTGCAAAAGACTCGGCGTGGTGCTGCTTGATACGCCCGTCGTGCCACTTGAAACGGTCCCTGTCGCGAAAAAATCGTGCTCCTTCCCCTCCTTCCAAAATGTTTTCCTCTCCGCGGATAGGCTGTCGATTAGCAGGGTGTTGCTGGCGATTGGTACCAAATGCTCTACGCACTTGGAAGCACACAGAAGCTGCGCAGCAGTCAAGACTACGGTTGCAGACATGGCTGCAAATGACGTCGATGTTAGTACCCGTAGATGAAGACTAAAATAGGTCGAAGTAGAACTTCAACTTCGTAAGCGAAATCGAAAATTTTACGAGCAGAAGTCGCATTTTACGAAAAGAGCAGAATGATCTAGAACTAGAGGTCTAGAGCGAATCAAACGGTAAGCGTAGACAACATGTGTGAAACAATGAATTGAAATGTAAGCCACTGCACCTTGAATAAAAAGCCGACTACGACAGCCAAGCCAAAGCTAGTTTTCGAGCCATATGAGGAAATTGTGAACGTGCTATGTGATACAGATGAATATTGCATTGTACTATCGACCACGATCTGCGACGATATAAAACGGTAGACTCTCTCACGATCCTCTCGGGACATAAACACTGCCTACAGATACATCTCTAACATCACAGACCTTGCGCTAGCTTGAGGACCTGCCCAGGAGATGTAATGTTTTCAGAAACTACAATGACACAGATGCGATAGCGATTACTATACGATGTGACGATTATGGTTGTATGATACGACCGACGAGCATGATATTTTTTCTGTACGATGACGATTCTTCTGCTTACTTTCTGTTGACTTTAGACTCTTCACATCGCGAATTCAGTTCCAGAAAATGCAACTCTACTTTTCGACCCGTCCAGTTCTTGCGAGAACACAAGACCACTTTGTTGGTACTAGGCATAGCATGTTGGCAAATGCATCGTGACAGCTTACGACTTGCTGATCAAGCAGCTCATCTTTTCAGATCCGAGTTCTTCAGAACACAGTTTTATCCATGCGACTCTCACCGCAGCGGCTGAAAGCGGTACTGAGAGGAGCAAGAACCCTTGCTAGCTGCTTGATGTTTCTTGGCGCAGGCACGCCTCGTCTAGTACCGCTTGTTTTTCTGCTTGTTTTTCTTTGCCCTTCAAACTCTACTGCGTTGCTTCGGAAAAAACTTTAACTTTCATCAACATGATCTCAAAGTTACAACTGCACAGCTTTCTGTCGCTCTCTCAAAGAGCATTTTTGGAAAAAAAAATTCTGCACCGACCTACTCTATCGCCCGAGGCCCGCCAGCGCTCCGGCCAAGCTCGGCTTGTTCAAATTCGCAAATTCCTTTTCCACGTCCGCCACCGTGCCGGAATTTGTCTTGCGGTAATCCTCTAGCCACGCGTTCATGGATTCCGGCGTCAAGTCAAAAGCCTGTTCCTCCGCGTTCCTGCCGCGAACATGCCGGTGCTGCCCGTGGTGGTAGTGCTTCCACCGCTGTTTTTTGTTCCGTGCGGCGATGATCTCATCCCAGGAAAGTTTGTGTTGCTGGTTCTGCTCTTTCTTGTTTTGGTGCTTGCTTTCACGACCTCGACCTCCTCCTGCGGAGACGGAGACGGTTTTCGCTTTGCTAATGCTGTGATGCAGCCCCTGCTCGCTGGTGGTCGTCTTTGTGCTGCTTTCGTGAGCGGTAGTTGTGGCCGTTTTATTGAGTACTTTCTTCTTTGTCGCAATCCGGACCACTGCTTTCGTGGCGGCCAGGGCTACGTTGTTCATCGGCGAGCCAGCTGATTTTACCGGCGTAGCTGGTGGAGCGGTCAGAGATGTTGGTTGCACATCTTCTGCTTTTTTTTCCTTTGGTACGACGGGAGTTGTACCGTGGTCCTCCTTAGCGGTATTCTTCGGTACTTGGGAAGAAGCTGCAGTTTCCTTGTCTTTCGACTCGTCGTCATCATCGTCGTCATCATCGTCGCTTTCGTCACTCGCCTCCTCAACAGCAGCCTGAAAAGTGGTAGTCTTCTGGAGCTTGTTGCTCTCTGCTTGTTGCAGCGGCGCTGGCGCGGGAGAAGACGTATCCGCAGCGGTTTTCTGGTTTTCTTTTTTCTGCATTTGCTGTTGTTTGCTCATCGCTTGCACGTAGTCCTTCTCCGCATCGTGCCCCGCCAAGCGCGTCCCCGCGGGCGAGTCCGCGATTTTAGCAGCTGGTCCTCTACTGTCGTTTTTCTCTCTACTCTCTCTACCGCCCGTTTTTCGACGTCCAAAAGCGCGCTGCGTTCGTCCCTCCTTCTTCTGCTTCTTCGCCATTCGTTTCCCGGCCCAGGACTGTTCCTGTTCCCTTTTCATCTGGCGCTCCGCAAACTTGTTACTCGCGTAATGGTGACCCGAGGTCAACAATTGCCCCTCGTGCCCGGTCACTTCGGATTGCAGAATTCGCAGTTCCAGTTCCTGCCGCGCCTGTCCCTCCTCCAGCTTGTCCAACTTTTCCAGGATCAAATCTTGCTTCTTGCTGATCTTCGTTTCCTCGTCTTCCTTGGAGGTTTTTGACGAACTCCAGCTTGAAATCAAGTGGTTGGACGTCAAGGCGTCCTTCAGATTCACTGACATCTCGGACAAGCGATCGTAGAGGGGGCCGGAGCTCTTGTTGTCGTGCTGTTCCATGTCCTCTTGAAGGAGCTCTTCTTCAGTGCGCTTGTTCTTCTGAGCCTCATTTTGCAGCTGCTCCCGTCGCGCCAGAGCGAAGCTGCGACGGTCGATGAAGTGCTTGCCGCTCTTCAAGAGCGCGGCTTGCTGCGCGAGCGTACGGGTGCTGGATGAAGCGCGTTTTGCTAATCCTCTCACGGTGGTAGCGGTTGCCAGGAACAACGGGTCAGAAGCTGAGAGCAAGCAAGGCGCGAGCGGAAAAATTGCTCGAAAACTGCGAAAGAGCGCACTCATCTTCACATTCTGATTTCGAGTTGTACCTAGCACTACGTCGTGGACCAGCAAGGGAATATGCGGCGGTCAAGTTTGAAGATGGACGAGCAAGAGAAACACACTTTCGCAAGCGTTGACAGTAGCATAGCCACCTCGGCAGGTCTGCCGTCACTCGCGGCAGCGTGGCAGAAAAAAAAAACGCAGAATCTTACATCATGGACGCCGACAGTACTAGTTTCGTGAGCTAGAACAGCAAGCGACGCGTGCGATCCAAGTGGCAAACCACGCACACTCGAACGAGATACGGAACAAGCCGTCTTGAATTGGTGGCCCCGACGACCATAAGAAAGCGGGTCCCAGGCTTCGTCGTACAAGTGCAAGACAGTTTGGGAAGTGCTGGCACCACCATACAGGCCGTCCTCTGCCGCTGCCAGGCTCATTTTGCGGCAGCTCCTACGGCCGAAGACAGAGAGACTTCATGAATAGACGGCGGGCAATGAATTAACGATGGATAATATACGCAGCGTACGGCCCTCCGATAATCAACAATGGCCGCGGACGCGCAGGGGCGGGCGACACCCAATGTTGGATGCCGCTGGCGTGCGCATGGGTGGCGAGGCTGCGCGCGGCCAGCCCCGCGCGGGCGCAAAGGGCTGCAACGGTAGGACGCAAAAGTCGGAGGGCCTTGGCAAGACCTGGCAGACGCTGCAGCAGCAAGGCAGGGTGGGTAGGTTGCTGGCGGCAAAGGCCCGGCGCCAGTATGTAGATCGAGACGCAGCGAGCCCCAGAGCTCCCAACTCGCGCGTAGGAGAGTCGCGCCCCGGCGCGCCACCCAATGAAAAGCGGGCGCGGCGCGTCCGCGGGGCCGCAGGGATATCCCACAGAAGACAAGAGGGGGCGCCCGGCTGCCGAACTAGCCCCCCGGACAGAGAAAAGATGCGCTTCATGGCCCACAATATTCGGCGCGGCGCCTGGGGACGTGTCCTGCAAGATCCCCGGGCCCCCCTTCATCGGGCCGCGCGGCACGCAAGGAGGGGGGGCGCCGGCGGGCCACGGGCGCAACGCGGCGGCGGCCCGCAGGGCTAGCGCGCCGGGCGAGGCCGGCCGCCCGATCAACACAGCCGGGCGGCGCGCGCGCCACTACGGGCCCCGGCCGCACTGTGGGTGGGGCCGAACAAAGAAACCACGGAGGAAGGGGCGGGGCCGGCTCCGCCCTCGGTGTACCTGCAGCCGGGCCGCAGCGCCGCTTGCCGTGGCGCAGTCGCTCGGCGGTCCGCAATCAGCGTCGCGGCCGGGTGCCTGGCGCGGGCGCAGACACCGGCGAGGCCGTGGCCGCTCGCGTCGCTGTACAGCGCAAGGCCCCGCCCACGCGCTCCGGCCCGGCCTTCTTCGGCGGGTGCCCTTTTCCCGCCCCACCCGGGGGCTTCGGGCCTACGCCCGGCCCACCCCCCCGGGCCTCCGCCCCTCTGCCCCTATTACGGGACGCCCCGGGGCGGCCGAAACAACTCCCGGCACTGCTTGCCGTCGGCACGGCTCAAATGCGAAACACTGCAACCTACGCGGACGCGGAGCGCCCTTTGTTTTGCGATAAATACGTTCTCAAGCAGAAGAGACAGAGAGCAACGAACAACCGAAAAACATACAAAATCCATTACAATAGGTAACAGCTGCCAACTGGAACACAGGGGCAATAAACTTAAGCATGCATGTGCATGATCGCACCGACAACGCCTCTGGGAAATCGTTTGTAGAACGTACTGGGTGCCGCGCTTTTGAGTTTGCGTTTTCAAATTCAAATTCTCTAGTACATGAGCCCATGAGCCGAGCTTCGCGGCGAAAAGTACAGAAAGTCACCACACCTCTCGCACAAAGACTCAATTTCCCATCCTTCCTCTACCCTTTTGTCCTTTCCGCAGCATTTTGTTTCGTTTCTCCTCCAGTACCGCGGGTTTCTGGCTTTTTGGGTGCACCATCTCCAACTGCCGAAAGTTGTCCAAATCCAGCCCCCGCACCAGTTTTCCGCCCTCCCCGCGCGTGCAAAAGGGGTACTGCAACTTGCTGTTCCGGCAGTCTGCGATATGCAACGCCAGCCGCTTCAGCTGCGTCTTCTTTTCCTTCGCATCTGGCGGTGGGGGGATCACCAGGCGCCAAAAGTGCCACCCCGCGCACCAGTCGTTGACGTGCGCAAGATGCAAGTCGCCCCGCTCTGACGGTGGCATCCGTGCGTACACCCCCTGCACGGCCTCGTCGAGACTGGAGTACGCCTCCTGGTGCCCGGTCTTCCGGTCCTTTATGAACACGTCCTGTCGCTCGAGGGACAACACCGAACGCAGTTGCCCCACAACCGACGGGTTGAATTCGAGAGATAGGTTGCAGGGCAGGGGAATCGGGACGCAGTCGGGATTCGCAGCAGCAGCTCGTGCGCTGTTCGCTGCGGTTGTTGACGAAGAGGCTCCTGCCCCCCCAGTTCTGTTCCGAGCAGGCTGTTGAGATTGCGGCTGGAGTTGCGGCTGCTGCAGTTGCCTCTGCTGATGTGAAGATGGCACCACGACCTGTTGCACCGCTGACGAAGCTGCGCTGGACGACGAAGCTGCTCTGGTAATTCCAGCAGCTTGAGGTTGCCGCGGCGGCTCCGCCGGAGAAGGCGCCACCGGCGCCGGAGGTGAAGACTTCTTGATGTTTTGCGCATTCAGCTGTTGCTGCTGCTGCATGTATTGCTGCTGCATCTGATGTTGCTGTTGCATCATCTGTTGCTGCTGCAGCTGCATGTGTTGCTGCTGCGCCATCTGCTGCTGTTGCTGATATTGTTGCTGTTGCGTTAAGAAAGCCTGATGTCCGCCAGCAGACATCTGCATTTGCATATTCTGCTGTACCCCTGATGCCGGCTGAAGAATCATCTGTGGCTGCGGCATTTGCGACATCATGGGATTCACAAATCCGGTGGCGCCACCCGGCTGCTGCATGTGCATCATCATGGGGTGTTGATGCCCTGGAGTTTGCGGCGCGGCCGGGAAGGGGAGGTTTGGTAGCGGAAAGGTAGTAGAGCCAGCACCTCCGGGTGGCTGCATGTGCATCGCCGCTGCATTTGCTGCGTTTGTATTTGTCGAGCCCGCAGCACTGGCTGTTCCCAGCGGCGGAGGTGGTTTTAAAACGCCCTGTTGGACAGTAGTGCCAGTAATTACCGTTCCCGTTGCAGTTGTGCCTCCCGCAGGCTGTTGCAATATTCCCGGACCCGCAGAAGTAGCTGCGCCGTCTCCTCCAGCACTGCTCCCCGACACAACAACCCCCTTCGCCTTCCCTGGCGCGGCCTTTCCTTTCGCCGGCAAGACCCTGTTCGCTTTCGCGGGAAGCTTCTTCTTAGAAACCAGTGCGGAAGCAGCTCCGGTCGCAGCTCCGCTTCCGGTAGTTTTGTTGTTTTCGTGCAGAGATGGATCTTTATTTCCATCTCCAACGATTATATCCACACTCCTTCCCTCCTCATTCCCGGCCAAATTCATCGGTTTCTGCAGACCTGCGCGCTGCAGCTGTTTCTGGATTCGCAACTCCTCCTCTTGTGACATCATCGACAGCTGCATGGTGTACTGCTCCTCCGCCTCTTTCGCCAACACAAACAACTTCCCGCAAAGCGGCATCGGCGGGCGCAGTTCCCCCATCGTCGCCGTCGTGATCTTCTCGGAATTCAGCAGTTCATCGTCGCTGCTAGACGGGTTAGGAGCTGGTGGCGCTCCTGTCCCTGTGGCGAAGTTTTGCTGTTGCGCCATACTACTTGTCTTGTTTCGCTCCGCCAATGCGACCGCGGCGTTGTGGCTGTCAAACTCCCTCCGCAAAATCGTCGGTCCTAAGTCCACCAACGCGAACATCTGTCCCTTCACGATCTTCTCCTCACACTCCGACAGCCAGTGGTGTTGCAACGTGTTCACAAACAATTCGAACAACTTGTCCCCGTGCCAACCCGGCGTGTGGTTCTTCCTCGGCATTTCGCCGTAGTTGTGCGCGTGCATCATCTTGATCGCGCGGCGGAACGCCAGCCACAGTTTCCGGACGAGAAGTGCGCCAAAAGCGAGCCTTTTGTACTGCTCTCTTCTGCTTTCCTGGTACTGGATCGACTGGAGTTTTCCTCCTAAGGCCTGCATGTGCGAGAAGTTCCGCAGGTGCATCAGCCAGATTTCGTTCATCAAGCATTTCTCCTTAAACAGCCGCAACACCGGCGCGCTGTACTCGCGGCAGGCCAGTTTCAGCTCCTCATCCCCGCACTTCAGCCAAATCTTCACGAATTGGTGCCACGTCGTCGAGAAGACCCGCTTCTGCGCGTTCAACGCCGTCCGGGCGGCTTCCCGGCCCAGCTTGTAGATGAAGTCGCACCAGAGTTCCTCTTCTCTTTCGGTGAGAATCGCGGGATTCGGCAGGGAAATCACGTCCTCGTCGAACCGCCACCAGTTCGTGCGGATGTCCTCCGCGACGGCTTTTTCCCACCGCCAGAGAATCTTCGAGTCGAATTTCGACCGTATGATCGTGTTCAGGTTCCTCCGGACATACGTCGCTAAACAGAACGGTTTATTCCGGTCTGGGATAAAAGGTAGCTCGATCTGCTGCAAAAACGAGTCCTCCATATTCGGAACCCCGTTCGTCAACACGGCCTGCTCCAGCCACCTGCGGATGAACGCCAGGGGTTTCAAATTCGACTTTTGGAAGAGCGCAAGGTTCGTGCTCGCGGGTGACAAATGTAACTTCTCCCACTCGTCGCGGTCCTTAACGCCGCAAACCACCAGCTTCAGGTCGTTTTGCAGCATGGACGTCACGGAATTTTTCTGCAGTTTCTGGTACTCCGCAGACTCGCCGATTTTCTCCAGTTCCTTCTCATCCAGCAAAAAATCCCAGGGGTCTTCCGGCAGACAAATGCGGAACTTCGCCGGGTCTAACTTCCGGGCTTTTTCTAATTCTTTGAATCTCTGTTTCTCGCGAAGTTTCGCCCGTTCCTCTTCGGAATCTACATCTTCCGTGTCCGAGGACGAATTCATATCGCTGTTTTGATCTTGCTCCGAGTCGTCGTTATCATTTTCGTTTTTCGTCGTATTTTTCTTGTCAGCCAAGTCGTCAAAATCCTCCGCGAACTTTTTTTTCCCTGAAGATAATCTACTTCCAACTGCGCCTGAGACCGTCCCACCAGTGGTCTCGTCATTATTCTTGTTCTTCATTTTCTTCCGTTTCTTCGCTTTCTTCCCTCCCTCACCGCCATCATCGGACGACTTGTTTTTATCGTCGCTTTCTATGTCGGAAAACGTTTTCTGGGTTTCCTTCACGTTCCCGCCCTCGTCGCTGTCGTCGTTGATGAACCCATCGTCCAGATCGTACTTGAACCCCGCTCTTTTCTCATGATGGGCCGCCCTCTTGTTTCCACCGGTCTTCGTTTTGCGGACGATGTTCGAGCTGTAGTCCGCGCCGGCAATCCCCTTTTCCCCCAGCCGTTTCTCGATGTTCGCCAACACGGAATTCAGCCGGGTGTTCCCGACCGGCGCTCTCCGATGTGCCTGCTCAAACATGATTTTGTTCTTTGCGTTCCGCTTCATCGTCCGGAGTTTCGCTTTCAGCTGCTTCTTCACGTCTGCCGGGATGGTCGTTTCAATCTCGCCGAGCAGTGCTTGGGGATTAATCTTTTTCAGCTTCAACACGTTGGTGAGGCTGTTGTTCTGGAGTTGCTGCACCAATTTCTGTTGCTCCGACCGCCAGTTTTCAACCAGTTTCTTGTAATCTTCGTCATCGGAAGAGTTGGCATGGTCGGGATTGATATTTTGTTGGTCTTTTCTGCTGGAGGTAGTTTTGGCAGATGAGTTGTTTTTACCTCTGGGTTGTAAACCCTCGCCGGCACTTTTTATTCCGAGCTCTTCCTCCGACTCCGGTTCGGACCCGGGATCCGAGTCGTCGGTAGACACGTCGGCGTACACTTCCAGACCCGCCTCGCCGTACTTCTTCGCCACCTCGTCGTGAAACACAATGTGCTTCGAAGAGCAAGTGCGGAGGCTGCGGATCATTTTGGGCCCTCCTCCTTCGGAGGCGCTGCTAAAGCGGTCTGCGGTGCTGTCACGGTTATGGTCGTTTATTTTCTCGTTGCGGTCGTTCGTGTTTTCCTTTTCGCTCGTCAGGGGGTTTTGACTCAAGAACTGGTTCTGGGTCAGCTGCCTTTCCAAATCCGAATTGGAAATCATCTTGTTTCCGGATCCGCTCGACAACATATCATCTGGATCTGCTCCTTCACCCATTGCATTATCTGCCTCTTTCCGCTCCGCTGTCCGGATCTTTATCGTGTTCCAGGTCTGACCCTTCCACCACGCGTCGATGTTGAGCTTGATGCTCCACCCCTTCCTCGGCACCTTCCGCCGGACAAACACCCGCCGTTTCCCTAGCGCCTTGTTGTAATAGTAAAAGCGGCTGTCTTCCTTCTGTTTGATTTTGTACTGATTCTTGTACAACTGCCCCAGCTGGACGAAATTCTTCTGATCTTCCTTGGCATCGGAGGACGGAGGTACTACAACTACGGGCGCTTCTACAAGTGCGTTCTTGCTTTTCTCGTCAGTGGCTGGTCCTCGTGAAGATGTCTTCTTTGCACTAGTACCTCCTGCAGCAGACGTACTACTTTTTAATAGCGCTCCTTCTGGCGCTGCAACAGAAAGAGCTCCTACTGTACCCCCGACTGCAGGTTTTGCCTTGGCTTTCGGACTGCTCTTCTTCGCCGCTGGTGCCGTGGTTGTCGAGGAAATTATGTTGTTTTTCCCCGGCTTGGAAGCTGAATCCACAAGATCAGCGGAATCTTTCTTGTCCGTGGCTTTCCGTCGAACTAGAACCTCCTCGACAACTGACTCGTTTTCGTTTTCCTCATCATGATCGTCGTCGTCGACGACAAAGTCATCGCCCGGTCGGTCGGTGCCTGAGATCATTTTTAGATCAGACGTTGTTACTTTTGGTTTGGACACATTAGGATCTAGCTTCTGCTAAATGGATCGACTAACGGATCGACTGCGTTTCGTTGATGTCTGTGTGTTTAGCGTGTTAGTGTTTTGGTTTACTCGCGCCCACCTTGATCGATGGCGGA